GGACACGCGTCCCGTAATGGTTGCGCACGGGACCGCGCGACCCTCGTCGTTTGTCGTCAAGACCGAAGGCACGTCGTCAGACTAGCCCGCTTAATGACGCGTAACTTGTACAGGCCATGCGCCAGCCAAGGTGATCCTCCTCGCTACCCAGTGACCGGCGAAACCGCGCTCCGGAGATGTGACGCCTCACACCGTGTCTCATCGGTGGCCACCAGATGGACACGTTACGACACAGTGTTTTCAAGGCCCACAGGACGAGTGTGAGGAACCGTTAGCACGTTCCAAGAACTCGACGAAGTGAAAGCTGATAGAAGACACACGTATACAACGTCAGCCCGCGCTCGAACTCTTACGATCAGAGCGAAGAAAGTAGCAAGCCGTGTATGGGTTCACGTGCAAGTCCTATATATACGTTAAAACAGGCAAACCACAGCTTCGTAGATACGTCAGGTAGCAGGCGAATGCTCTCTAATCTCAGCACTATCTCGCCCACCGTTTTCCACCCCTAGTATTTCCCTTATAGGCACCATACACTCAAAACACGATCCTATTTTCGCTTGCGCAGCTTTCTTGCTTAGTCACAATCGGAGATAAATTTTTGCCCGAGACATTATCAGGACATGCTGGCACAGAAAGAACATATACAGAAATAGCGCTGAAATGAACTGAAAGTTCTGCAAGTACGTGTATTTCGTTTAGTACAAAGTCGGCGCAAAGTTGTCAAATTCACACAGTGGCACAGAATGTTTTCAAAGGTCACTCAGCACGGCGAAAACAATTTCATTTATTTGATTTACCTCCTACATAGAACATCTATTTGCCAACGTGACATTACAAGGACTCCTAAAACACTGAGTTCAAAGCACGATGTAAGAATAAGTTAGTTGCTCAGACTCACCGCTCCGCGTAAGGAGAGGGCGCGGCAAGAATTGTGCTCGCCGATGACCTTGAGCTATGAGTAGTTTCCGTCGCCCGAGTTGAGATGGCGCTACTGTATGGCGTGCCAGGTTCGGCACTCATTCTGAAATTCGTGCGCAAAAGAACTTATTTCTGAAAGCTTTATCTGCACGGGATTTTGTGATTTACGCTTTGCCTTGTGCCTGTGAGCATAGCCAGTGCATTTGTTTTGCCGATTTGCACTTAGTGCTTCAGTGCACGCATACCTCGACGCTGCATATGACTCTTTGAGTACGCGTGAGCGGCCTTGTCACTGGATGCCCCTCGAAATGGGCAAGTTGTGTTTCGTTCCAAATTGCAAGTCGGTGTATCGGAAGCTGGTACAGAGCGTGTGTCGCTTTTCAACGCTCCGCGTGAACCAGAGCGCTTGGATAAGTGCGACGGGCAACTCTCAGAGCTGACAGAACCTTGCAGCCTAGTGACCATGTGTACGCGAAGCATTTCCCTGTAGAAGCCATCTCTACCACATATCATGCAGAATACAAGGGAAACGACCTGTTGCACGCACTACAGAAACGCGCTCACTTCGAATGCTGGGCCTGCCGTTTCACCGTGGCTGCCCAAAATACCTGACCGTGCAGGGAAAAACCAAGAAAGCTCTGCGAAAACGACTGGCTCTACTGCCGACTTCTCGGAAGCAACGGGGGCCAAAAGGTTCAACTGCATCTGAAATGCCTGACACGACCGCTGAAAGTGCGCCAAATTTATTGCGCGTGGAGACGGCGACTCCACAGCATGGCGATGATGAATGAACAGGCACGCATGCAAAAGGCAGCGCTTCGACTTCAGGTGTGACGGGCCTCTTCCACGTGAAGAGCAGGATGCTTCTCAACACGACACTGATGCCATGGGCGTATGCGCTACTGTCAGTTCCTGATCACACCGGAAAAGTGATGTCTTGTTTTAAATTAGTATTCCGGGGTTGAAGTGATCAGGCCAGGTTTTCTCGTTTTCGGATGCCTCTACCACTTCATCGTCACCGTCTTGCAACATTGCAGGGGCACTTCCGAACACCGTACTTATGACGCAACACCGTTTGTTAAGGCGAAGGCCTTAGACAGCCTTAGATGTCTCATCAAACGCGAAATATGATTGTCGGCGTCCCGCGTCGGCGGCGTAAGGGACGAGCCGCACAAAATATACTGCTTTTACGTAGTGCGCTCGCTTTAAGCCTCATAAGCACTTCATCACGATGACGTCCACCCGGTTTAGTAAAATAGCGCGAAGTATGCCTGATGGCACTGGCCCGACAATCCCGACATGAGTGTGGTACGGTTTAACCGAGGGTCGACCTTCGGGGGCCGCTGAAGCTCTTCCCACGATACCGTGCTGCTTACACCACCAGAGGTCGAAATAGAGTCATCTGCGTGACGCTAACAGCAAGACTGGCAACGGTAGCGTGTCGATTTAAGTTCCTAATAAAACGTATGTAAGCGTCGAGATACATTAGTCGAAAGTTTTCTGACGAAGTGTTTCGCTCAATTTCCTAAGTAAACATACACGTGACAGCAATATCAGAGCGCATACACACACACGCAGGAACACATGCACTCACATATACACGCAAAAACGCACGCAGACTATCGCTTTCCTGATAGCTAGCGTGCCTTTCATCTCGGGCTGATATCCTTATTGCAAACGCCTCAAATTTTATCTCACGTACTACTTTTTTGTTTCGAACCAAAGATGCCGACACCGCCAACGTCAACACCAGAATTTAAGCGAAAGACGCTTTTCAGTGATGTCGCGTTTTTGCCGCTCTCTATGGGCCAATGCTTGCTGCTGTCGGAGCATTTATGACAAGCACACTGTGAGGAAATAAGCTGCACATAAAACTGAGAAATCTATTTCCTTACAGCAGAGTCACAGTGTGTTGATTGACGTCCGTGTACACGTGTATATCGAGCGTAATAAACAAGCGAGGCTCCGCCGCAATAACCTTCTACACGCGGATCGGAGTCACCCCTGTATTCTAGAACGTCCCTGCAACTCAACGCTTCACCTTCACTTGGGAAAGCCTATGGGAGCACCGCCTCTAGGCATGGCAAGTCACTGCATATCAGCGATAATCTGCTGCAATTCTTGAGTAGCGCAACCTCATTTTGAGCCGAGCTGTGGCGCAGTGCTCAACTCTGTCAAGTGAAGGGTAAAATTCGAGTCCAGCATGCAGCGTTTGTGAATACGGGGGTCACTCCCCAGTGAGCGCCATCTGTCGCATCACGCTAAAACAGCTCAGGCGGCGAACAGAATCTGGACACGCCGCCGAGCACAGTGTTCACCTAACTTATTCTTACACCATGATTTAAAGACGAGAGAGCGGCTTCTTTCTTGCCTTAATTAGGCACGCGTACAATGCCATATAAAGCATGCATTGCAATACCAGCCTTTCAGGATTCCACGCTCGTTGAATACACGCTGTCATCTCCGTTTGCGCAGTCGAGAACGAATAAGACGAAGTGAGATCAGATGGTCACGCACGACAGCCATGCGAAACAAGGAAGCACGCATGGGCGACTGCACGGCAAAGGACACAAAACTGGTATTTTTCATATATGAACCGATCGGAAGTTTGTACTTTAATTGAGTCACACAAATCGCCATTTTGGCGTCGCGGGCAGTGCGCCGAAAAGATGAGAAACGCAAGAAGAGAACAACGCGTGATTTGTTTTCTTTTTTGTATTTTCCAAGCTATTTAGGGGTCCTTTAATGCACTAAGTAGAATATGGTGAATTTCAAGGCATGAACAAATAATAACAAGTAGTGTGCGCAAGCGAAACTCAGAAACAGGAACGATAAAAAAAAAAGGTCATCCCGTAATGGACGATTTGACTAGGCATTTAAGCTAGGTTCAATAAAGGTCAAAATTTGTTACGGACAAGCTAATGGTTGGTGGTTTGAAGTGTACAACAAACGTGAAGTCTAAACGGAACAAAAGAGGAAATAAATGCACAGGAGGAACATGCATCAGCGTTCGTCATGTGCACTTCGCTGTCCCCTTTGTATGCCTACTGGTAGCGCTGCTCACTATAGTACTCGCCTCCTACGGTTACTTTGTGTGCCCTCAAGCAAGCATGGCTTGCGCCTGCCCAGACCACAGGGGCGCTGCTGTCAGTGAAAAGGAAAGATAAACACTCCAGGGGCCGAATTCATGAAGCTTCCAGTTCGTAACTGTTTTTTTTTTTTTTCTACCACAGGCCTACTCTTCACTAATGATACGTCTGGCATTAGGATTTTTCTCTTAGGAACAATTCAGATGATTCCGTGAATACAAACCCAGCATATAATATCTTTTCTTACATTTTCGTGCTTTTCGCGACCTAGGCAACACGCAATCCTTATAGCTGATATGTCACACTCCCCGAGGTAAAAAAAAAAATGAAAGGAAACAGTAACACATCAGAAATATTCGTTCTCATACAGTATACACCACAGCTTCCTACTCAGAACGCTGACTGACCGATAACGTCACACACGCAATTGTTTGCTCTCCGCCCATTGGGCAGCGCGTGTTTGTATCGCAGGCTCTGTTATATGGAGTCCTGAAAGTGCTCCCGTTCTCGCAACGACCTCCGGCTAAGTATCGTGCCCCCGCATTAATCCGCGCAACAGGCACACAACAGGCACAGCGACATTGCATTCCACATGCGTCGCCACCACACACTTCAATATCACTCCTTCGGTTTTCTCAGAGTGCAATAGTACACACATATTTCAATGCCTATCACTGATTTTCCAGCTGTACATTGTCGCACACAAGGCGATAAACGTAGGCCAAGTGACAAGCATTGGCCTTGCCTCGCAGTGCACACGACTGCTTATCTGAGCACTTATCTCAGTATGCATTGGCTTAGCTTTTTTCTTTTATGTTCTTCGGTGCAAAGAACGCTCAGCGCAGCGGAGAGCAGGACGAATGCATACCCCACCTCGCGGCACCTGTCGCACACATTGCGCAACGCGGCTTCTGGCACGGCTAGGTGTGCCTTTCTGGGTGCACACGATCAGGGCGAACCGCAAGAGCATGCGAAACAAGGTCCAAAACTCACTTGTCCTGGAATCCCTCGAAGTCGTCGCCCTGCTCGTCGATTGTCGACTCGAGATCCAGATAGCTGCCATAGTCGTTGTCGGTCGCATTGATCTTGTACAGTTGTAGCGTGCAGTCGTCCAACTGCACCAAAATGGAAGCGTAAGACGGGGGTGAGATGAGTGAAAATCGAACCGAGACGCGCCTGGCATACGCCGACGAAACTGCGCAAACGGGCAAGAAGCAGGCGCTGAGGTGGACAAAATTACAAGTCTGCTGCTGGCCTTACATCGACCTCCAGATAAGCTTGAGATAAGAGCCCGCTTATGAACGACAGGATTAAACGGCAGGTTCACGAACCGCACCAAGCTTGGAAATGCATCGCTTAAGCGCGAAAAACCATCACGTAAACTTGGAAACGCGCTTTTACTTTCGCGGACCACCTTCTTGCCCGTTCACGCCGTTTTATATGGAACAACACGACAATTTGGGGCAGAATGTTTTGCGGAAGCATAACCCACCGGGGGTTGTCTACACTTTATATCTAAAAAAAAAAAGTTCGAAAAAGAGAAAGTGCAAGACGACCAATTTAGTGACATTGGAGTTCTGTTCTTGATCTTTTCTGTTTTACATTCCACAGTACTTTGAACATACTATATATGTTATTCCTTTTGTGTGCGCCTAAATAAATTTTTGTCGTTTTTGATATATTCTAGCGAAAAAAACAGGCTTTTCGTATTTGCACACAATTTTTCTGTTAACAACCTTTTTCTGTTATTCTAAAGAAATTATCTTTCCAGAACCAGGTCTAAATAACAGAGTAGTGCACGCTTTGTTCCCAATGACGTCCAGCATTCTCTATGCTTTGCGGCCTTTCCTGCATCGTTCTCGTGAGGTAGCATAGGCGTAACTTCCTTTAATTTCTTGTTAGCGTTCGTTATCGCGTACAATGCCTTAAGAGAAGGCACTTCTCGCGACCACCGAAACACATCTGCTGTTTGGCAAACTTGGCACTAATTTATTGCAAAGTCTGAGTTTTCCTCATTTGCAAGATAGTCAGTGTCGGCTTTATACTTTTATCTAGAGATGGCTTTTATTACACAAAGTGTCACCTTTTGCGGCGGATGACTCAAACTTTTAGGCGAATCGATTTGATGCACAACGTCTGCACAGGCCTAATTTACAAGTTTTTCTTTCTGGTTGAATAATAGGAAGAAATCTAATAATGATTTTTATATAGGACGAAGTGGTTATATATACAGAAACATTTTTTACTGGGTAAAACCGGCGAATAACATCATTTGAAGAACACGTCATACATTTCTCTTCATCCGAAAAATTCCAAGCAGGTAAATCACAAATATTTATAAACTACATGTAATTCAACATTTTTTTTTTTTTACAGTGATAGGTGCTGAACTGTCGGTCCGACGGTCATGGTATCGAATCCCGGTCACGGCAGCCGTATTTCGATGTAGGCGAAATGTTAAGAGGCCCATATACTCATATAGATGTAAGTTAAAGAAACTCAGATGGTCGAGGTTTGCGGAGCCCTCCTCTAGGGCGTCCCCCATATGGTGGTGCTGGGACGCAAAAATCCGGCAATTATTATTATGTTCTGCGGAAGCATGAAATTTCGGTATTCCCCAGACCTTTTAAACAAACCAGACTCCGTGCTCTCTCGCCACTTATTTCGGCACTGCAGCGAGTGTTACTGCGCGCATTACGTGCGCTCATTCAACGAGAACGCGAGCGAAACTGAAAAAGACAGGCGGGCGCTTCTTCCTAATGAGAATTCAACGTTGCGTGCGCCTGGGCGTGAAGCTGCATGCGACGCGGACAAGTGCACTTGTGCCTCCGCGAGGTCAACGCGTCGTCCGAGACCGTGCGACCAGCTCGCCTTCAGTCAATACGAAGCCGCAACGGGCGCACAAAAGCCCGAGCAAGCCGTTCATGAATGAGGCAAACAGGCAACACACGCCGGTGATCGTAGCGGCGGCGCAGGACGACTCGTGCAAGAGCCCGAAGAATTACTCAGCCATTTTCCGGTCGACCGACTCCGCGATGTTCCACACGACAGAGAGCGTGTGTGTAAAATGGGGGAAGGGGGTGCAGAGTGTACAAAGAAGCCTGCCCGCTGCAGCCGTCTCGAGCGAGTGCGGCTGCCGAATAAAGGGGAGAGAAAAAAAAAGGCGTACAAGAAAAAATCCCAAAACAGTGTTGCACACAAAGCGCTTGTGAATCGACAGCACGTCGGGCGATGCACAACGCTGTTTCATAAGAGCGAAAACGCCGACAGAAGGAGCCATGTCTCGCATGGTCGCCGATGTGTGGCGAAGACCCTTTCTAAGGCGCGCAAGTCGCCGCCGGACCTGACCTCGGGTCGTGGGAGGCAGCCTGACAAAAGCGTCACTGCGGACGGTGAATTAATAGCGTGAAATGACAGAGCGGACATCCAGCACGAAACAAAGCGTCTGCGTGAACCACAGGATGCGCTCTTTAGTATATCCCTCCCATAGAAGAGCGTGAGCTGCGCGCGAAGTAAGTCCATATCTGCTGTATAATGACTGCTACATAGCAGGCATTACTTAATATTTTTGTTTTGCTTAAACCTCACGTTAATAGAAAAGTATCACTACATAATACCGATAATTTATGGGGGTTTTAAGTGCCAATACCAGAATATGAGGCACGCCGTAGCGGTGGGTAATTTCGATAAGCTGGAATTCTTTAATGTGCAGTGACATCCCGCACCACACATGCCTCTAGCACATATCGCCTATCAGAATGCAATCACCGCGGCTGGGATCAAGCCTGCGCCTTTTGGTTCAGCCTTCGAGCGTCATATACATCACATTCGCCATCGCGGCGGACTGTATGCACCATAAAAACCGGACTCGGAGGTGCACGACCGCGCGCTTGTGCGTACGCGTGAGAGAGAGAGGGAGAGAGAGAGAGAGGGAGGGAGCACACCAACTTCTTTAACCATTCAGTTCCACAACATCGCGGAAGCGTTGCAATGATGTCTGTATTTTTTTTTTTTTAGTCTACTGAATGAGCTCTTTAGAGTTTTTAGTGAGCTAACCTGTGAACATTCACTGAAATTACACGGGCGTACCGTTACATATCTAGCATTTCGCAACATTTTACAGTACGGCCCCCTTCGCATTCTTTGAAAGACGCGTTTCCGTGTATCACTTAAACATTCCGCAGCTCGGTACGAGGTATGGTGGGCCTGAATGAAGCCAAGGAAGGCACCAGCAGCAGCCTTCCAATTCTTATCTTTTCACTTAAGATTTGCTAAGCTTCATTTTGGGTGCGGGCGGCTTTCTTTTCTTTAACTTGACGCAAAGTAAATGTGACAGAAAAATTTCTGTGGGAAAAAGAGAAATGGAGAGGAAAGGAGGTTTACCAAGCATGGCTCGGTTGGCTACACTGCACTTGGGGTGGGTGAAAGGGGGAATAATAGAAAGGAAAGAGAGAGAAATGAAGAAGGGTAAAGAAGAGGTTGATCAAGACTACCCAGCCCGAGACTTCACAACACGGTCTCACGCCCTTCTTTCACAAGCGCTCGCGAGGTCCGGTGGCCCTTAAGAAGCACAAGAGAGCTTTCATGGCTTTGCGCGTATGCGAGACCGTCGACCAAGGTCCCAGGATCTTCTTTCTTTAAGCCGTCGTGAATCCAGGAGACAGAGCTTGGCTTCCATAGCACGCCGTTCAGATTGGTACAATCTGCAGCGTCATAGAGTGTCCTCAAGCGTCTCCACACACGCACAGATGTTGCATGCCGCAGTGCTGGCGATTCCAATGAGACACGAATACGCATTCGTAAATGCCACGACACTCACGATTACCTTCACGCAACACCTCTCTTTTCCAAAACTTAGACTGGTCACCCTCATGGCAATGTTCCTCAACAAAGTACTAGGACCATTGGCTATACATCCACCAATGGCCCAAAAACACATAGACGTACTAGTAGACCTGGAACTAGAAACAGAACGGCACGGGGCCAACTGCCTTAAAAGTCATTTTTCGCATTCTCTCAGGTGCGTCCTGCGGTACTTTTCCCGTGTTCTTTCTATCTGCCATTTTTTCTTTCCACCAAATGTAGGATAGCTTATCCGACGCTCATCTGGTTGCCCTCTCTGACCCTCACAAAACAGAATAAGGTGAATATCCGGTGCATACCTGAACACTAAAGCCAATAATATGCTAGGTCCCGCTGTTGGAACCGCGGAAACGAGTGCGTGCTGGTAGCGCATGCGCACACGGGTGGAGGCCCGAAAGCAGCGCCCCGAAGACACACGACGTTGGCCGAGATCAGGAATTGTGATTTCTCGGAACATAGGAACCCGAAGGAGAAGGCATCTTGCCCATGAGTCGCAGATGCCACGGAAGCGGAACGAAGTGAGGGGAAGAATGTGGAGGCAGCCGGCTGACCGACGCGCAGCAGCGAGAGGGATACACACGACATCCGGGGCGCTCATCGGCGCGCGTGAATGCGGCGCGCGGAGATGAATCGGAAGCGCTTCTATCGGGATCCGGTTTGACGCGTCGCCACGGAGGCTCCCGGACGTCGCGACGGTCGGGCCGCCCCTGGGCGAGCGGCAAAGCGCTGCAGCGTCACGCAACACTTCTTCCTGCTTATCGTCAAGAAGGATGGAGAAGAAAGCGAAGGAAGAAGAATTTAGGGGGGGGGGGGGGGGGGGATAAAAGGTGTATCGAACGCGCAAGTGTCCGGGCACGCATAGGCTCTATACGAAATAACCGCATAGTTGCCTGCATTAAGAGTTGGCTAGACGGGCTGATCATGAAAGCCCAGACAGGCAGGTCCCACGAGGGCACGGAATTCGTGCGAGCGCACGAGACGGTGCGTCGACACTGGCGCACGTGGTTGTCCTTTCGTACCTGCGAACAAGCGCAGACAGCTTGACAAACGCAGGTCGGTGAACGGCGGATAAATGAAGAGGGGCGAAACCGTGCGACACAGCTGTTTCTGCGGACGTTCAAACAGCGCCAAACAGACCTTTCGCGTTCAGTGTGAAGTTGAACACCGCAAGCGGACGGTGCCTCAGCGCACAAGTACAGCGTCGTCGCGATATGCGTCTGGAGCGTCGGCGCCGCTTTGAAGCAGAATGTGG